CGGCTGTCCTTTCAAGATGCCTTTTGTAAAGCAACTGGGGGGGGGGGGGTCGGTACCACCACCAGAGGGGGACCCGGCCTGCCCGGATACCTTTTTTGTTAACGGAAAACGATTGGTTGTATCTCCGTGCCCCCTACAGGATTGTGCAGCAGCGTATGAGAATCCCGCCGCTTCCCCCCCGGCCGAACGCAAGTCGGAGGTCGTGGTTGCAGGTTTGGGGATAGAGGACACACGCGTGAGGCATTACCGTGTGTGTGTTTAGGGAGCCGCAGCTGCTTTCGCGATGGCGAAGTTTCCCTCACCTTGCAACGGGCAGATGCTGTTTCGACTCCTGCTGTTCAGCGGCTTCCTAAACAACGCGGTAGTGTCTCATGCGTGTGTCCCCTATCCCCAAACCTGCAACCTCTGACTAGTGTTCAGCCGGGGGGGAGGCGGCGGGATTCTCATTTGGTACGGAAAACCCGGGAACCAGTTCAAAGTGGATGGAACACAAGAGTGATGGAACACGCAGGCAGGCAGGCAGGCAGGTAGGCAGGCTTTCTGGGCTATCCGGGAATATCTCAGCCGTGCTTGTGGCGAATCTGCATCAGAAAGAACTTGTTCTGTGTTGTCTCAGATCGTTTTTGGTTCACGAAGTAGTCGAGGATTTGAACTTTCGAATCGTTTGCCGGAATGCATGCCAGCGGGGGGGCTCGAGTGCACGCTGTTCTGTCTTGTCCTACCTTCGACTTCGTCCAGAGAGGTTGCAAGCCACGACCGTTGTATATGTTCTAGTATTTCCCTTCGATATCGGGTAAGGTGGTTGGGTACATGACTTTGATTAGTCGTGTTTCGGAGCGGTTGGCTAGCGAGGGGGCACGAGCGTGTGCAGAGCAATGCCCTTTGTTGATCTTCTGTCCGGGAAATGCTAAGCTACACTGTCATTCGGTCTACGCCGAAGCGAAACATGGCGGTACGACTTTCTCGGGTGTCGCACCGTCAGGTAGCGAAACGTTGTGACGAAGACAACTTGTGTTGCAGGCACCAGGGCGGGGGGGGGGTCGAAACATGTAGGTAGGTATCGCCTACGTTTTGGGGGAGGGGTTACGGCATGTCCGCGAGACTTAACGTAACGAAGATGGGGGTTGGGATAATTTGGGTTAAGGCCGTCGAGCGGCGGGGGCTGCCGGCCTGCTTAATCGTGTGAATACTCAAGACTGGGGATCTACAGTAGTTGGCGTTAAGTGCGTAGTTGGCAGTAGAATAGAATGCATCACCACTTGTTCTGGTTCGTAACTTGTTTTTGCGGATAAGACGAAGTACATTGGATGGATTGGATGATACGTGTCGGAAGACGTTGCAGCGGGGGCTGTTAACGTTCTATGCATATGTGTATGTCTCGTGTTGGGGATACGGTAACATCGGTGAATGATTCCTCTGGCGTTTTGTATGCTGGGGTATTGACTTTCGTCAGTTGTAAATGGGACGGCAAAAAGAATTAATGTTCTTCATACTGGCTTTTCTGGGGGTTGTTTTTGAGGAAGGGTATGGCATATATATGTCGATGAGATATGGTGGAAGCCTACATGCTTCCATTGCCCACTTGAATTGGCCAAATGAGTTGAAGCTGGGATATGTTTTCATGTGTATCTAGTTGACACGTTTTCCCGGAGTCATCCGTCCCTACGCTGACGCGACGGACTCCAATGCGGTGTTGATTTTGCCGCGTTGTTTTTTCACGGGTATCTGACTGCTTGGGAGGGTTGAAGGTTGGCTGACTCAAAATACACGGACGGAACTAAGGATATCAGTCTAAGACCTGAAAAAAATTGATAAAAAACAGTCAGGCTTTGAAAACGATGGACAACATACCTCTCGACCTGAATAATGGATGGTTTTTCGACTAAGGATTTGGATCAATGGCCGTTTTACCTGGCGGCTAAAGGAGGGTTTCGCGGGTCGAACAAATCTCGTACCGGATAGGGGGGCTGTGTGGGGATACTCGGCAGAGCATTGAGCCACGGGGCCTCCGGCGGCTATGTGGATGGGAACGACGAGCGAGGTCCTTCTTGCCTCGCCGATATCTCTCACTCGCCAACTGGAAACTAAAGCAATAACAATGATTCGCCACTCCTCCTCCTCCTCCTCCGCGTAAGCCGCTTCTCGACGAGATCCCGTCAGCACGAATAGCGACGTACGCTCGCCAACACCCAAACAATGTAGACAAGTGTGCGTCGATCAAGTTTCTGGCGGTCATGTAGTGTTTCGTGTGTCGACGGTACAAGATAGTTGGAAAAGTGGAAACAGTAGGGACTGGGTCCGTCGAAGCATCACTAGTTGAAACTATCGCCTGAGCTGTACAAACACAGCCACCGGTGGTTCTTAATCACAGACAACCCGATACAAGAAACGGGTAAACTTGTAACTGGCAACGGATTTTGTAACCGCCGTCCAGCACGAAAATCAATGAACTAAAGATAGATAGATAGCTAGAATACTGACACTGAGGTCTGCCGTCGGTCTCCGGTAGAGGTAAACGTGAAACTGTCCCCTGGCATGTCGCCATGCCTCCAGAGGTATCGTCGGGGTAAAAATTGGGATTGGCATGGATGTGGGCACCCATATTTCTTTCTTATGCCGTGTCGTGCCATAAACGAGTCACTTCAATTCAGAAACATGGGCCACGCAGCCATCGATCAGCGACCCCGCTGACCAAACCTTAACCTTCGCGGGCAAGAGACCTGCAAAACCTGTTTCCACAAGACATGGCACTCAAAATAGAAACGAAATTCAGCAATCCCTCCTCACGGCAAAGGCATCGACGCGCGCAGTCTAGACCCAGCAACACTCCGACAACAATTCGAGAGCACTATGTACGCTAAGAAAGATAAGAAATACAATACCTCTCCTTCAAGTTCTGCCAACTGCCCCCTGCGGCCGAAAAATTCCCCTTCATTAATATTTCGCTTGGGGGACAACAAACGATTCACAGCATGGACTCTTGGCGCGCAAGGCGAGAACGATAGAAAGGCATGTACAAGGCTGCCTATTCACTCGGCAACTATACGTAGCACCCAACAATCGACTGCATACAGCAAGTAGGACCACCTCAACCTCCTAGTACTTCATTCATACCTACAATATCCTCCAAAGCCTTTCCCGGGGGATTTCACTACCCGTTTCCCATCATCATGATTCTTGTCTAGGGCCGCCGTCGAAGCGCCTGTGCATCTTTCCGTCCAAGAACGATGAGAACTCTTTTCTCTGGTCGCAAGTGAACCTGCACCAGGGGGTCCCGCCAGGTAGAAAGAGAAGTGCAAAGACGAAACCATACAGAAACGAAGAGAAAGGACAAAAACAAGGTGGCCAGCCGGGCTCAGCGAACGCCATGCGCAACGAGACACCGAGTATCACAAGCATTAATCGTAGTGTCACAGGGAGCAAGGGCGCCAAGCAGGGAGAGAGAGGGAGAGGGAGGCGAGGACGGGGGGAGGCAAGGAAGCACGAGCCGAATGGATCGTGGGTTTGGCAGTGTGCATGCGTTGCCGTTGTCGACGGTGAGGGCAACAGAGCCGTGAAAATTATGGTGAGGACAACAGAACCGTGGTAACCAGTAATCACGGTCAGGACAACAAGAACCGTGGTAACTACGGTGAGGGTAAGGGAAAATACGACTTAATGAATCAAATAGAGGTATTCGAGTACAAATCATATTCCATGGAAAGCGGAGATTCGTCAGGAGGGAGGCGGCGTAGACTGTGGCAAGGCCATACCATACCATAGCAACAAGTCGTGCGTGTTGTATCTAGGGTTAGTCTTTAAACCTTGTAGGGCAGAAGACACCAACCATACTACCGCTGGGCAGGCCAGGAATACACACAAAAAAGAACCTATTGCTGTACGTGGTCAGAGCTCGGCAGATTGCGCCCTATAGTGGTGTAGACGAATTCCGCAACAACAACAGCGGCAGAGAGACTCCCTGAATGCCACCGTCAACACAAAAACGGTCAACACGAACACAGCGGGGTTGCCAGCCCCAATCCAAGCCAACCAACCAACCAACCAACCAACCAACCGAATGCCCGTTTCAAGACTTGAACGAGTCAAACTAAGGAGTACCAACGTCATCAAAATGCCGTCTCGCGGACCACGATTTTGGTACAGCATCATAAATGAAAATGAACAAGACACTTCAACAATTCACTCGATACCCGCACATTTTACCATCTTGTGGTAAACTTGTCGTCCGGTCGTTCTACTGTAGCCCTCATTCCAACCTGTTTTATTTGTCTCATTCGAAACCCCGTCATCTTGGATCGACTCGCGGCGGTCACCACGGTCCATACGGTAGTACAACTGCTAAAGGACAGCCCTGAACACCATAGCGCACTACACTAGGTGGGTCCACGTCCAACGCGACACTGGCAAAAGAAGGCATTAGTACATTAGACGATGCATGAATCGGCAGGCACCCACCAGAAGGACAGCACGAATCGAGTCCCGGCTGTGACCTTGTGTGCCCGATGTGGGTTCTCCATGCCTGCCGTGAAGGCCAACAGGAGACCTGGCCAGTAGTGGACGACACCGGGCAAGCACACACACACGGCAGAGTTCAAGACGAGAAAGCACATAAAAAAATACCGATCTACGGTATTCCAAGCCAGCCCAACATCATTCACAAACACACGTCGAGCGGGGCATCTACAAATACACAACAATGCAAAACGCGAGACACGAAAGAGTTAGGCTGGTTTTCCGGCCCACAGGCAACAACAATTTTCGGTGTGTATTTTTTAGATCGTACAGAGAATGAATTTATTGGTTTTACCAAAGAGAGACCTATCGTTTATCGAGAACGTGCTCCGTGCGAAACAATCTAAGCCTGCGCCGAACGCTTCTTTCCTTCTTTCTACCCCCCGCTGATGCATCCAACCTATGTGTTTGTTTGCTGCTCTCATGTCGAGAAAAACCATCTGCTTCGGGCAGCACCGATTCCCGCTCAAGAGCGAGAGTGAATCTGCAACAACAACAACAACAACAACAACAACATTCCAAGTGTTGATCTACACTTCGCGGACGCGTTCATCAACGTACAGCACAAGTGTGAATCTACAAGACGTGGAAACTATTGCGGAAAGCAATTCAAGGGTCGAAGTTCCAACTGTTGCCGCCGAACCAGAACAATACTGTAACCAATCGACAGCGGAGTTGCACACTAGCGTCTTTGCCACTGCCTGTACACGTATCTACCGCAGTCACTCCGTCATGAAACAAAATATCAACACGAAACTCCCCAAAACTCACAACGACAAAGCAACCCAAGAACCCGTCACTCCCTCACAGCTATTTGTTCGAGGTAGGCTCTACAGAACTAGTGAGTCGAGTCACGATGTTGTCCCTTTGACGAAGGTACGCTTCGATCTCCGCGCTGAGAGAGAGAACTACGCACGTTCATGTAACCCATTAATACCTAAACCGAGAAGGGGGGGGGCACGCACCCGGTGCAGGCTCGATGATCATTTCAGGAGGGGATTCGCTCGTTTCTTGGAAGGAAAAGAGCCCTCCCTCGAAGTCCACGCCGGCTTCACTGCGACACCAACCGACGGCGGTACAGCAGTAGGCCACGAAAAGCAAACGCAGGCGTGGGCGTCTCGGTTACATCGGACACAGACCTGCCATACGTCTGGGAGAAAGCGTTCTTCTCCTGAACGACTTCCGCCACGGGGAAAAGATGAGGTTGAAAAGCGGCTCGAGCAGGTGCTGCGGTGAGGTGGGGTAGAAACGTGGCCACCAACACCACGAGGTGTGCGATTGCGATGGATACAGAACCAACCAGCACTCAAAGCAACGGCGAGGGAAGATCTTCAGGTCCACAAAAATACCAGGAGATAAGGTAAGTGATCGAACTCAAGAATAGGTGCTCATTGAAGTGCTACATAATACGAAAACCTGTCATATCGCTATTGGGTGCCCCCAGAGACATGATAAGGAGAAAGGAACGAGCCTCTGCGCGACATAACATACATAGTGTAAGAATACGTTCATACGCCGTGGCTGGAATATTCTGTCCCCCTGTTTTGGCGACTAATTCGTCCCATCACGCACAAGAGAGAGACAAAGAAGTGTGGCCGTATGGCAACGTCTTCACGTAAAGGAAAGTATTCAATACAGCTTCTTCTGCAGGCAAAAACACCTGAGGTAGAGGAGACCGCTGTAGTCGTAGTGCGGGGTGTTGTTCTTGTCGACGTGGACGTGCCTTTCGCAGAGGGGGGTAGAGGCGTCATGGTGAGGTGCAGTCAAGAGCATCAAGCAGGGCAGATGGGGAAGAGGGTGGAGAGGTCAATCTTCCGGTGTAAGTACGACTGTCAGAGTGTCAAGAGTGTCAAGAGTGTCAAGAATGCCAAGGATAAAACAGATGGCGGCGAAAGTGGAGAGGTCAATCATGTGGTACAGTCAAGAGCATCAATAGTTTCGAGTAGAGCACAGACGGCTAGGCGAGTGGAGAGGTCAATCTCATGGTGCAGTCATAGTGTCACGAGTGTCAACCGTGCCAAGCAGGGCAAATGACAACGAGAGTGGAGAGGTTAATCTTGCGGTGCAGTCAGAGTGTCAAGAATATCATGAGTGTCAAGCAGTGCAGATGGAGGCTGGAGTGGAGAGGTTGGCCTCGTCGTACACGGCCGACGACATGTTGCAAGGGTACATGCAGGTGGATGAATCGTCGACTACCCAGACATGCCCACGTCACAGGCGTGCTTTCGTATATGCTCGAGCCCGAGCACACACTTGCAAGGAGCGTCTCTCTCTACTGGGCCTAACTTCCACAGTGGACAGCATCCCCCGACTTGTGGCGCACGTACACTTCGTTGGAACATGAGACCGATTTGCATGGTAGCCTAGCACCGAGGGACAGAACAATATTGCAGTACATCACCAATTTCAAAGGAGGTGATACGCTATTTCATTGCTGTCAATATATTTGCAAATCCTCCACCAGGGTTAACGGTGGGTCCTTCTGAGCGCATTTCACGAATCGTCGCGTCAACGAGCAGCACGAACGTACGCATACACGACGTTTTCGTTAGTTTTTTTTTCATGGTTCGGCGACACCAACCGCTCTCGCTCACGGCCTCACTCACCAGTACTCGTCATGAGCGGATTCGGGTTGCCACCCTTCTCGGCCCTGTATGCGCGTGATGAACGTCGGAGCGGTGAACATAAGGAACCCGAGGCCGAACAAGTCTTGCACCTTGGCCCTGATCCGCTCGATCGTTTCTCCGTAGAACCTGGAACCGTCGAAAAAAATTGTTCAAAACAAGAAGTATTTAGATTTCCCCCAAAAAATGCTATGCTTGGAGTGATTGATGATGGAAAACACAGTGTCTGCAACCATCCCGTTCAGCCGGTCGACGTTGCACGAGGTGACGCCAACGCTTGAGCAGCACCCCAAGGGGTGGACCTGAAACGTCACACGACAGAAGTCGACGATGTTCCAGCTGGTCTTGTCTTCGAGACGCGGTGACACGTGAATGATGAACGATGCTGCCACCACTCGGACCTTACCCGCTTGGGGCAGTGTGATCACGTCACACCAGCAAAAGAGCGCGATACCAGTGTGGCATCAAGCCGCGCAAACCACCACAAATTTCGATGAGAGGTGCTGTACAGGCGAACGCCGCAGTCACGCCCCACTAGCTTTTCGATCTCCACTCGGCACCCGGCGACACACGAAGTTTTTTCGCGCGCCTATATACGGCACCAACAAACACATCAAAAACTCACTGGTAATCATCAGCGGAGTACAGAGGCTGCCTCTCGAGCCCGTCGTCCTCCCCCCCCTCGTAAATATTTCGAATATCCCCACCCGAGGCCCTGACGAAGCCACTGTTGACATCCATGATGCACGGACCCCCGCCCACCCCGCTCCGGCCGGATCGGACGTCGGCCCCGCAGCCCGCCATGCCCCGCTCCGCCATGGCGATCAAGCGCCTCACCGACGGCTTGTCGAGGAAGCCGTGCTTCGCAAAGCGTCCGCAGGCTGTCGGGTGGCAGCCCTCCACCCTAGGTCGGTAGTGCGAGTGGGCGCACTCTATGTCCCACTGTTGGTGGTGTTGCCGGTGCCCGGTATGGATGTGGATTCGGGGCACATTGAGGTGGGTGGTGGGCTGAGCACACGAGCATGTCATTTCTCGCTCCTCTCTCCGTCTCTTTTTCTCTCTCTCTCTCTCTCTCGATCGATCGATCGATCGATCGACGTGAGATTATATCTGGTTGGGAACCTGGGAAAAACCGTGCAGCTACTGTTGTACACTTGCATGTTCCATTCACGGCAAAGCGAGGTTCTTCAGCTCTCCTGCTGTGGCGATAGTACAATGTACTCCAGGGATTGTTGCTTCGCGAGCGAACTCGAGGGAAGGGGTTGGAGGACGACTTCTTGTGTAACTAAAGAAGACAGCAGTGGAAGCAGTACCTTCGTGTGTCGAGTGTCGCGATCTCGGGAGCTGCTGCGGCAATGAGGTAATCAAAGATGAAGAAGTCTGCGAAAGGAGTGCATCATGTACCGTAGATACCATCACGCGACGTGTTTACTCCGGACGTGGCAGCATTCTCGGGTGACGAAGACGAGAACCTAAGGTTGGTGCACAAACGCTCCCTTGATCCACGTGGATTTTGGGGCAGTCATACGCATATGCACATCCACTCAGGGTTCGGGTTGGCTACCCTAACCATGATCCTATATGCCAGACTGCTGTACACCTCTTGAGATGGGCTTCAACCTTCGAAAATGGCCCCGCTGTTGCTCTTTTCTTGTATTTGTTAATCCCTTTCCCACCCTTTCCCACACCCATCTCCAGGCTATTCGTCTCTCTCTCCCTCTCTTGCTCACCCAGCAACCATCAGCACACGCCGCCTCGTCGTGCTTCAGCACCGGCACGGCTGCGGTCTTGGCATTGCTATTCGCCAAGCGCAGCGCTACGCTCAAGATCAACAGACACCCCGCGCTGATCCAAGCCCACCGAGCAAGCGTGGGCTTGCTCTCCGCCTGAACATTCCACTGGGATTGTCGCCGGTTGAGCTGGCTCTGGGCGGAAGAATTGCTTCGCCCTCGGGGAGCAGTTGACCTCCTCCGTGTCCCCATCGGTGCTTGTTGCCGTGTGCCGCACAAGCAACTCGCCCTCGGCGGCCCAGGAGAGGCACAGCAAATGCGGAGGAATAACGAAAAACCCGCCGCGCGCGGAAGAACTGCCTTCCACACCAATAAACTCCCAGCTCAGCACACCACCGGCTAACGGCTAACAAGTCCATCACTGCTCGGCTCGGCACGGCGGCTACCCGCGGTAGCTGAACCTGTGGGTGTGGGTGATCGACCCAGCGAATACCTCCCTCAAGTGAGTGATGAGTCCGGCGTGTCTTAGGAGGAGAGTATGTACCAGCCAGCAAATTTGCATCAATGTAGCTCGGGAGTTCGGGAGTATTTGAACCTGGCGCCCAAATCGCTGTTCTCAACGCACGCTGCAGTACCGTCTGTAGTGTGTAAGCCATAGAGAGCCATGGCGTGCTTGGTTTTGCTCCGTTTCCGTTCACCGTTTGTGGAAAACCAATCCCAGCAGCATCGCGCTTCGTGAGCCTGAAAACAATTTCTGCAAGTTCGAGGAGAGGACGCCTGTGGGAGATAGACCTGCTGTATTTGTACTGAGACGAGCTGGTGGCAGAGAGCACGGGTGGCTACTGCGGCTGTACCATGCTGCCTACTACATTCTACCATATAGACTTGAAAGGTACAACAGAACACAGGGCCAAGGTTAGGACGCCTCGCACAACCCCCTGCTTCCGATGCTTCTCTTTCGCTGTGCTGGGTTGCATTGCCCAACTGGGGGGGGGGGTGATGTCTTCCGCAACACAGCAGCCCAGCAGTTTGGTGGAGGGAAGGTGTGCATAGACTACAGCAGCAGTGTTTGATGTGTGAAAATGTTGTACACCGGAGTAATCCACGTACATCGCCCAAAAGGCTTGCTACATCCTCTACGTACCACTTATATACGTAAAAGCACCATTGGCTTGTAGCAACAGCATGTCAGCATTATTGAGACCAAGTACCAGTAGATGGTACCAGGTACTAAATAGCGCGGTGATGAGACCTTGAAGCCCTCTCTCTCCACACTCCATCCCGGCCGACCGCCACCTTCCCGCCCCGATAGCGGTCTCCCGTTTCCGGGAAGCCGCTGCTAACCCTAAGTTAGGAGGTATTCTCCGGGCCGGCGCGAGAGTCCTTGGACCTCTGCCGACCCGGGGGAGCTCGCCGTCCAACACTTGGGGGGGGGTTGGTGTGACGCCCACACCACGGCCAAGCTGCCGCCCTCTACCCTCTCAAAAAAATTGGGGAAAGCTCGCGGGTTTTGATTAGCGGGTTTCGGCCGGGTTTGGAGACAACACGGCGTTCCTCATCGTGGGGGTTTGCTGAAAAGCTTCCCTGTGTTGTTCGGAATTCCGGAGGAGTTTTGGTTACAATCGGTCGGATTTCCACGGGTGTTGTTTATGTTCATCTCTCCCCGCTGCTCCGTCCCTCCTCTTGTCTGCTCCCCGTAACTGGTGGGCGGACGGGGAGGGGGGGGGGGGCACTCCCATGCACCCTTGGTCGTAGGGAGAAAGGCGCGTCCTTGAACATGGGAGGGTTGGGCATGACTGCGCGCGAGGATATCGTTCGTGTGACCGTAAACGCATTGCTCTGAGCGCTGTTGTACTGGTTGTAGAATGATGCCGGTGCCTTGGTGGCTCTGCCCTGCTCGTTTGTAGCGTTGGTGTCCGTCGTGTTTCGCCATCGGTTCCCGCTGTGCTGCAAAACACAACCGCGTTTAAAATCGAAATAGCCAGCCAGTTGCTTCCGGTCTCTAATGTCAAGACAGCAAGAGCGACGGCAGCAGCAGCAGCAGCAGCAGCAAGATGCGAATGATTTGCTGCCTTTCGCTTAGCCCCCGTGCTCGTTGTCGAAATCGGGCATCGACGAACGAGGCCCTGTCTTTTTTCTTACAATAGTCAATCGATACCTTTCCCACCTCAATGCCCAAATTGTGTGACTAAGCTCATTGTGAACATCTTCACGATGTGTGACTACGCTCATTTTGAACATCTTCGCGATGCAGCATTCAGGGTTCCAACCAGTAATAGGCTTCATCTCCACGTGTCCGGTAGTGAATGGGGGCAACGTGGGCGTGGGCGTTCACCAAAGCTCCATCGTCGTCACTGTCCACTTGGGTGTTGTATTTTTGCAGCCTTCGCTGCTGCCACGTTTACGCAGCCCGCTTGTATGATACACCTCGCGGATGCTTATTGTCACGACGCCGTGAGCTGTTTTCCACCAACCATGCCCTTTTCCCGCCTCTTGTTGTCTGAAAGGCGAGGCTTCGGGGCCCAGCACGAGCCGTTCAATCCTCACACGATGCTGCGAAGGGCAGATGCTGCAACAGCTGCAGCCGCCCGATGGAGCTCTGCAAAAGCAAGCGTCACTGCTGTGGCTGTACGCTGCCTGTCTCAGCGATTACCTCATCCCCAAGGATTCCCGGCTTTACCGTCGTCAGCAAAAGGGGATGGTCGCCGGTGCAGCAGCAGCAGCGGCAGCAGCTCGACGCCCGCCATTGATTTTGCGATGCCCCCTGAAGACCTGGAGGACGGGTACTTCGAGAGGCCTACCCCCCTGCTCCTGGTTGCGGGAGAAGGCCAGCCGGCCGCCTGGTGAGCCGAGCCATTAGCGAGTGGTTGCAAACACGGCCGCTATCGTGCGTCCTCGCGCGCTCTATTTTGTCTGTGTGAGCGATGCAAGATATAGCCCGCGGCATGCGGAAGAGTCTGTTTTTGCAGCGAGGGCACGTGCGGTAGGTATGGCAGTCGTTCGGAGGAAGCTGACTGCCAGCTTCGCTGATGCGGTTGTTCTGCTTCATGATGACAGTGTTTGTTGCCCTTGTTGAGTACTTGTTCGTGCCTCTTTGCTTCGTCTGCCTCTTTGCTTTGAATATTTATTCCTTTGAGTAGAGTTACTAAATCCCCCCGGCGGCACCAGCAGCAGCGTGTTCGGCAAACCGTTGCCTCGCTCTTGCTTTGGCCTTCCGGCACTTGACGTCTACGGGTCGTTTCTATCGGGGCACCCACGACATCCTCATTCGTTTGCAGCGGTTCAGATCTCTCCCCAAGTCAAGAGTTTATTTGATGTATTGGTAGCATACGTGTTGTTCACCATCAAGGTGCTAATCTGCTGCTGTTGCTGCTGTTGCTGCTGCGTCACTGCTGGTTGCTGTTGGTCGACCGTTCATTCAGGGCAGGTGGAAGGACACCACCTCCTTCTTCGCGTCGAGAGGGTGCACGGTAGGGACCATGGCTCTCACCGGAAGAGGGAGCTCTCCGACAGACACGCTCACCCTCAGAGCCCTCCAAGCCGGCGTCGCCGCAGCGGTAGACCAGAGCGGCCTCACACCCCCGGTCATCATGGCCCACTCCATGGCGGTGAGTGGGTGCACTCTCTGTGCGTTGCCGGACACGAGCCGACCCGCTAGGGGCACGATGGAGAACCACGGCGGGCTACAGCTGAAGAGTCGCCGGGGGTTTCGTTCCCGTGGAGTCTTCGCGTTGGGCTTGGTTTGGATGCCACCGCATCGCGTGGGTGGTTTGCACGCGCACCTATAGTAGCATTTCTGGCGCAGGAACGGCCCGATTTTTTCCTTTTTTTTTTTTACTACCACCCTGGAGAGGAACCATAGCCACCCCATAGCCCCCCGTGCAGGCACCTGCTGCCGTTTCGTTTGGGGAGATATTGTGTCCCTAATTGCTTTCTGCTCTGTGTTGTTTCGGTTGCAAACGTTCGCTTTTTTGTGCCCCCAGGGTTTCGTGTGCCAGCAGTACCTGCAGTCGTACTCCGCCTCCGGGTTGGTGCTGCTGGAGTCCTTCCCCCCCTCCCCAGGTAAGAGGAGCACGGCCGAGATTGGTCGAGGTCCTGTGGTGTGCCTCTGTTGGTGCCTTCCATTCCTGAAGCTTCGGTTATTGGTTTAGGGTCTCGTGAGTCGCAGTCGCTTTGAGGGCGCGGGCAGCTGTTTTTTTTCGATGCGCTTCATAACCACCGCTTTTTTAGGGTCGTGACCCCTCTCTCTAATCCGAGTCGTTTTGTTGAAAGACATCACTTGTGGCATGATCACCCGATACAAACGGGCTGGTGCATGCGGCGCAGCGGATTGCGCGTTCGTAGCTGGAGGCATGTTTGTCCCTACGTGTCCATGGCCGTACAAACGTCGTCGCGATGCGCGACAGCAGTAGTCCGTTGAACAGCTATGGCGACGTTGTGATGACGCATTTCGTGTTTTCCTTGTTACACCGACAGGAGCTCTGGCCAACGAGCACTTGCTGCGGGCGCGTGCTGGAGACCCGGGCGAACCCAACGATCACGTCGCTGGACCATCTGCTAGCCTTGGTGCCCAGGAGCTTGCGCAGCTGATGAAGGACGACCCCGCGCACTGGGAAGGTCTCCTGAGGTGTGCGAATACTGATGGACGACTATTGGGCAATTCCGCAATACAAACAGAATCCTGCGGGTGTTTTTGGACCGACTCAGTTTGTACCTGTACCGCCAACATGCAGGACTAATATTCCATGGTATCGCAGGTTGCCTCGGGCAACCGTGCTGGTCCTCTAGGAGTTGTTTTTTTAGGTGGTATGCGCTGCTGAAGGTGTGAGAAGGAGGTGGATAATAATGTGGTAACATGCACGAAGAATGGTGACACAAAGATGATGCTTTTTGACATCATCGCACATTTTATCAATGGGCGTCCCAAGGCTGACCTGCAGAATGGTTTTTGTACAAACCAACAAACCAACAACAGAACACAACGCGCTGCCGCAACATCACGCGAGAGACGCTCCTTTCTGTCAAAGCTTGGTCTACCATCTATCTATGCCTCTAGCAACCTTAAGGTCTCTCAAAACGGCCGCGACACATACACGAGACGAGAGCAAATATTCTGCCGCTAGTGAAATTCCCTGAAGGCGAAGGTTGTCAAAGTCCCTCTATTCGCGCGCAGAAAAATCAGGAACAAATAAATGTATGTAGCCGCCAAAAGCGGCGGCGGGATATGCAGCCTCCGCTGGGCAGGTGACAGAGTAGAGGTGTGCCCCGACCCTGTCGTTGGCAGGCTAATCCCGGCCTCGAAGTGGGTAGTAGTCCCGTTGTAGATTGGAATTTGATGGCAGGTAGACACCTATATGCACGCGCTCGTTGTTCGAGATCGAAGGTATTGTGCAATGCATGCATATTATGGATGGGTGCGTTCGACGAGGAATGAGAGAGTCGTCAATCATCTTGTTGTGTGTGCGTGCGACATGCGGTGGAATAAACTCCCGCGTAAGGTTGCAGCGGTGTGGCCCGATCCTCTCGCTGGCAGGCAAAATTTTGTCGACACACAGCTATTCCAACGTCGAAGGACTTGTCAATCCAGCTGTAGATTGGACGGGGCTTCAATTTGGCGGAGGATAGGCATCGTTTAGGCTCAAATTCATCGAGATCGGAGCAATTCGGTGCGGGAAGTCTAAAGTAGTGCAGGATGGCCGATGGTCTGATACCTCGCGCCTCGAGCATTCGGGTCAAAAACGTGCGTGGTTCGGAGCTTCGGAATGAACGTGATCATTCATTCATTCATTCATTCAACTCATTTTTTTCACCGTTCTGTGAGACCTCTAGAGACCGTAACGGTTTCCTAGAGGGACTCTGGAGGATGTACGGTGTGCCCTGCATAATGGAGTAGAAGTTGGTTTTTTGTTGAAGCCGCCGTCTACACACTACATCGAGGACGCGCAACAAATGTCAGTCCTGTCCCGAAGGCGGTTCGAACACGCGTTGCGCATGGTCTCCAGATGCCAGTCGCCCTTTTCTCGTGGCCGGTGCTTCGTTTCGCTACAGGCGCTACTTTTCCGAGTTTCATCTGCACTCCCCATGGCACAACGCTCCACTGTCGTGCCCTAGACATGGCCTTGAGCGCGGGGTCATCAAGGAGGAAAACATACACTTTTCGTGTCCATCCCCGGACCCCCGGTTTCCGGTGAAGGCATTCGCGCAGATGTGCTTGAGTGAAACGTCCAGCACGCTTCGACTAGAGAGTCACGTCGTCGATACTCTGGTGCTGGGATCTGGTATGGCCACCTCAGCGACCAGCACTTCTCAGGCTGGCGGAAGTGGTTGTGCGGACGGTGTGGCTGCCTTGGATGACGCGAGGAGTGACGCCCTGAGCGCGATTTGCGAGTTCCATGGCATCGACGGTTGGAGAGAGGTGGACCATCGGGGAGTTGTGACTGACGGGGTTGGCATGCCGGGAAACGCCCCACCGTGGCAGGAGGTAGTGTGGGAATGGTATGATGCTCGTTTCTGATGTTGTCAGCTGTGAATGTGAATAATGTATTGAGGAGACCCACGTCGTTTCGCCTGATTCGCTCTATAGGAGGTTTGTTCGTAACCGGGAGGCAGGGGCCTGATTTTTTTTTCTGTTCTTCACGTTTTGTTTTGTATCTTACGTGAGAACCAGCGACCAACAGGTTGGGGGTCAAGCATGCAAAGCTCGGCGGTTGCGCGCTTAGAAATACTTGCATATCCCCAGACCGTTATGCTCCCTTGGGCAAGTAGGCTTGGCAAATCCCACAGTGTTGCGTCTGCAGCGGCGACACTTGGTTTCTCTCTGAGAGATTTTGTGGTTGGTGGCAGCTAGTTCAACCAACATCTTCCTTGTTTCCGCAAAGAGTTTTACCCGAAAGCGTCAGCAGGCGAGGCGCGCTGTAGCCATCACTTCATTATCGCATTTTCGCAAGAACCGTGTAGGCATGGCCGGTCACTGCACCAACCCGCTCCGAGACGTTACTTGTTTGGCCATCCTCCGTGACAGGGTTTGCGTCGCAGGGTGGTGGTAGTTATGTTTGGACACCGAACTAAATAGGTCGCGCAGCACCTGTGTCGGTGTGACGTATCAGGAAGCAGGTCGGCGTGTTGTGCCCCTCGCTGCTGTCATGGTGGTGACTTGGCGCTTCACCAACAGAGAGCAAGAGATGTTTGTCTGACTTAGCGGGTTCTGTGAGTCGTAGCGTCACCAAAACATGGCAGAAGCGGCTTTTTCGCTCCCAATGTGCGCTTGGAATAACAACGACCGGAGCTCCACATCCCCCAAGAATTATGACCAAATTCAGCCAGCAGCCAGCCGTCCTTCCCACCCGCGGCAACCCCCGCTCCCGACAGGCAACGTCGACGACAGTCGTCGCGTTGGTTTGTCACAACCGAAGTTGTAATCTGGCTCTCTCGGAATCAGGAATAATACACCAGCCTCTTTCTACGGTCTACCGCACCACCCTATCATGCGGGACCGGTGCAAATTCGTTCTTGTTATCTCTTTGCATACAGTAGTGCCGTGAGAACCACGTCCGGAGGAGCGAGGTCACACCAAATCATCAAATCAACCCCGCAGCCAATACGAGTGAAAAACACCTAACCTTTCCGTTCGAATCCAGTTCGGAGGAGCGGTCACACCAAATCAACACCTCAACCAATCAACAAGTGGTTCTTCAACTCAGCGATCGGAGAGAAGCGTAAACTTCTCCCTTAACGCTCCTAGATCACAGTAAGCACGGTTTAGCAATAGCATCTGTCCAACCTGCATAACACCAAAGAGGTGGGAAAGGTTGCATACGGCATGACAAAACGTGTTCCAGCTGCTGCTGGCTCAAGATTCCACCCTCGGGTAGCCTTTCAAATGAATGATCGCTGCGAACTCCCACCCCTGACCAAGTACAAAGAGCGGCAACGACGGTGTGGGGACAAGTGGCGGGAGCGCGGGAAGGGATGCGTCAACTTAAGTGTCAAGACGCAGATTATTGGACCAGTTGGTGTTTTTATTATGGTTGTGAAGAATCGTATGCATGAGATGGCCGCGCATGCTTGCACAAAATGTAAACTACAGTACCACTCGGCGAAAAGCGCGCTGTCTTGAGAGTACTGCACTAGATCGACGAAGAACACGAGAAACATGGCCAAAGCAGCTTCATGGGTGCGGTGAGATCATCCACACCGATGCTGCTAGAACACTACATAAATAGATATCAAACACGCAAAGACTTTAGTACCACCCAAATGACATGTGCTACAAAGAGCAGCAGAAACGGGTGTGGGCAGGGGATGTGGGGGTGGTGCGTTCTCCCAGAAAGCTTTGCGTCACACCTTATTTTCGCAAACAGGGCACAAGGACTGGTTCATGAGACATCTCTGGATGCAGTCGAGGTGAAACACGTGCCAGCAGCTGCCGGTGGCGATTATCAGGCCACTCGCGTTCTCCTTGGATGGGTTGGCCTGTTGTTTGCAGCGATAATGTAGCACAATATGACGACATAGGGTGTGGGTCAGGGTGGTATTTCGGTGAACGGAGCACTAGGCCCTGAGTCTGGTGCACAGGGGTCGAGTCTACTCGACACTTCGTGGTTGCCAACATGGTGTTTTGATCGCATTGGGAAAGACGTTGCAGAGACAGTGTTCGTTTCATCTAGAAATGGCGACATTACGTACACGGCGGAATGCGGCAGCAAAGAGCGTGGGTAGACGGCTCAGCAACGCGATGGGTGCTTCGCAAATACGACGGCAGAAAGAGCACCGCGCGGAACAATGTGGGCACCCTGAGACTGCTGCCGGCTTTTCCCACGATAGAAAGGTTACATTATCAAGTTGAAGCATCGGAGCTCCCCGAGCCGAAACGGCCAACCTTAAAACACGCACAGGGGTAGACAACCTACAATATCCCCATTCACCTGGTACTTGACACTGGGGTCGCGGAGCTTGTTGAAGCAGAGAAGACACGTCCTGACCTCTTGCCATGGGGCTTCCTGCCACGATCATATCAACGATTTCGCCACGATCATATCAACGATTTCATACCAAGTCACAACCGGCACAACACTCTTTGATACACCGTACAGAGAATGAATCACACCCGGGCGGTAGATGTATCGGGGTACAGCGATATCGACAATATTGCCAGACCAGTTTCTTTTCGTGTTGGCACCAAAACAACTCATGCTTGTTCACGCTCTTCACTTCCCCACTACCCGAGGTTTGGTTTCTAATCGAATCAAGACATGACTATTACAACAGTAAGGCCTGTACCCGTTTCCCAATGATCGTGAACGAGGTGATGAAATAATTTCGCACCTCTTCGGTCCCAGGCTCGGGCCCCTTGCCCGACTCGCCCATTCCTACATCCTGCGCCTCTTGGCCCTCCGCCCCTTTCGCCATTTCGCTCATACTGCGCACGGCTGCTGCTGCTGCACATACAAACGGAGGGGGTGGAACAACGCGTGCAACGCGTACACAAGGGAATGCAGTCCTTGATTGAGTAGTCAAATGGAAACGCCTCTACATATCTCCAATGGAGCAAAATAAGTATTTAGGAGTGCGTTTTTTTGCTCCTCTTGGCCTCCCAGCTATGTAGAACAACAACGATCTCCGGGGCCGGACCCCATACTGGAGGTAATTCTGTACATGATGCCTCAAAAGTGCCCCAACTGTGGCCGGGATTCGAAGCTGCGTGTACATAGTCTACACATACACAGTCAGTCCGCTACACAGTCAGTCCGCCACGGAGCGGAGGTGGACGTTACGATAGACTCATCAATGCAGAGAAAGCCGTGATCTCACCCACTCAACCCAAGAAGGGCTGATGGGGCAGCAAAGCGCTTCAGTTTACAGATATGGCGGGGTACGTGCACGTGCGGCGCGCGGATATCTCTCCAACGCGGGGAAACAGCGGGAAACGGCAGTGATTTTTTTTGTCTTCCAGGCTCCCCGGGACTGAGAACCAAGCAGGGGGAAAACAAAACGAAGTGCGTTGTCCTGTAGCATTCTACATAGTTGGCTCCACCGATGGGCTGGTCTTTGTTTTGTGGGGGGGGGAGTCATGATAGGACTGCTGCTGTACGTATCACCTGTATGTATAGCCTTGGTCTCAAAGGTCTTCACCCGGCACGCTCTGCCGCTGCTTCTTGCCTTGAGATGATGCAAGGGTTATTGAACGCCCGTGAGGCATGCGTCATACAACGCTGACGCAGCTGGCAGGAAAATAATGCGCGGTGAGCAATGACCCTGAGGGAACAGCCGTGAACCTGTGCAAAGTGCCAAGCGCAGTGGTGAGCTGGTGTGTCTCTCTGTGGTGCCGGCTACGGCGGTAGGCCTGGGCTGAAGAAACAACAGAGATCCATCGCCCTGTCTGGTACCAACACGATGCCGCCAGCTCGCCATCACACACTCACCAGATCTACCCTTACTTCCTGGGCGTGTCGAAGCTCCCCAGCCAGCGCTGCACGTGCCCCTGGCTCTCCAGAACGTACCACGATGCCTCCAAAGCTTGGAGCAAACACGAGCAAGCTGCGGTGTTTCCCTGCGGAAAGCGAATTCCTGGAAACTTCTCATGAAAAAAAAAACAGGTCGACAGTCCCGTGACAGCTGCGTGCTTGCGTCTGTGTCTTGCACAATCACATATGCACCCAGCGCGCACCTGGTGCGCTGTAGTTGTACCACAAGACCAAGCAGCTTGTATCTTGTACATGGGTGCATTAACCGTGTTCAAACGTTCTACACGAGCAGAACTTCTGTTGTTCAATGTACGCTCGTTCCCGGCGATTTTGACTGTCGGTGCAGCCCTCTCTTCTCGTCGCCAGCCTGTTGTATATCTCGACGACCAGGGCATCGACTTGGTGCGGGTCGCGTCAATAGATGTGCAGAGAGCAGTAGAGCACATATGGGTTTGTCTGTAGGTCGAACAACTACCCCTTTCCCCCTCTCGATGCTGTTTTTGCAGTCATGCACACAGCAGCACTTGCATCCCATCAAAACCATCTACAGCAGTATACATGTATGTGCAACGTGTAGTCTTGCATATCATCAAGCACACCGTAATGTAAGGAAGGAAGGTCGGCAGAAGTCCAGTGCAGCAGCACCTGCGGTGATCGCAGCAGCAAAAAATTTAGAGAGAGGCGGTGCTATGCAAAGATTCCTCTGGCTGAGCGATGTCGCCGTGCCAACGGCGAAAGGGAGCGTATATTTTTCCCTGCACAGTCCTTCCACACCACACACCACCACAAACAAAGAACAACAACAATATATACACCAACGGGGTGTTTTGGAGCAAGAAGAATACTTCGAAATAGTTGGTACGTTTTAAAGCGGTTCAATGCGATCAAGAATGAATTTTCTGTCTTTTGCAAGTAGGATGTGCATTGCCGGTACATGTGCAACAAACAAACGAGTTTTGCAGTGATGAAGGATTTGAGGGCATCTTCTTTTGGTCCCCGCTCAGTCCTTCACCCCCAGGACACATTTCCACTTTCTTCATGCAACAGGTTGGGGGACACGTTGCGAAACAGTGGATTTCAGGAATGAGTTCGACCGGCGAGTGCCACAATGTGCTGAAATATTCGTGTCAATCTACAAATATTCCCGCACTGATTCTCCCACAATGACGCGCGGACTTCGCGTTGCCGGGACCACAGGAAACGCCTTCCGTACGGCCAACCTTTCCGATGATACCGGCTTGGTTATGTTCCACTGCCTGAGTCGTTCCCGAACTTGAACTTCGCTTTCGCGTGTATGTACGTAGACATAGTGCGGAATTGTTTTCCTCGTCGTCTCTAACCCACGTCGTTACTGAGGGGATGGTTTTACAGAGAAAGTGGGCGTGAAACTTGTTTTCATGTGTATTCCATCGCGCTATAGTCTAGGTTCTCAAAACATTCTTCCAGCGCGACAATTTGTTTTTAGTTTTCTTCGCTTTTCTACAGTTCGTTGTTCTTCATTTAGGCTAGGATTGTGGCACTATTAGTATGTTTACATTACGTTGGTGACATCATCTACGATAAACTTGGCAGCATATCTATGACCCCCTAGCGGAAGAGAAAAGCGTTGGATATTGGACGTGCACGAACTTGACGTCAACCTCCCTTTGTTATCAAACATGCATTCATCATGTCGTTAATTCTCCCTGTCTGTTTTCCGTGACCATTCACAAGGAAGGGTGCATACCATGTCTTCATAGTTTGTTGCAATGTTGCACCTGTAACAGTGAGAGTTTCCCTCCCACCATGAAAGTTTGCCACCCACTGCAGCTTGCTTGATGCAAACAGCCCCACACTATTGTTCTTCCTTAGCACTTGGACATACTATTATACTCGAAGGGTGGGGGGTTTTCCGCTCGCTTTCGGGGTATGTCCCGGGGACAAGGCTGTCGATATTTTCGAAGTTTTATCGCCAACAAAATGACACTGTGTTGTCAGCCTTTTCTGGCGCAATTCATTCAAGACGGAGTGAATCCCATGTTGTGAATGAATGAATTTATTTCACAAGACAAAGGCTACCTACTTCGTCGTGTCTTTCAGCTAAGTTTATTCCACCACAGTTGTCAGACGAAATTGTACACAACATTGACACATGTTGTATCGTAGTGACCCCCATGAGTAAGGGAACAAATCGCCGTGGCCGGAATTCAATCGATACATATTTATGTGTCTCAGCCAATCAGAAGCCTTCAAAACCGCACTTCTCACCTCTTTCTACCGCAGGTTTGCATCAATGCAATTCCCGAGCTCTAGAGGACCCAAAGAAAAAAGCAAAAGAAAACGGCCATTGTGGAAGCGAGTTCTGCCCAATGGTGGTTCGACCCGCGCTTTGGCGTCGTCGATTTCCATGGACGGATTGTATATGGGAGAAAATACGCAGAGCGTCTCGCGTTGGTTTGAATACTCCCCAGATTTTCATAGCATGGTGCAGCAAAGGTTCCGCAAACCGTAAAAAACAAATGAGACGATGTTTGCACTCCTGACCGGCGTATTGGGGTCCCCGGTGTGAAACCCACGAAAGCCCGTTCCAAATATATGAACACCAGTTTTGTTCCTTTTTCGCTCCGGAATAGTTCAATGGTCCTTTCCAGGAAGTTTTGCGTAGCACTTGTAAAGCTAGCACAGCACGGGGCTTTGCAGTAATAACGGGGCCCCGCGGACCTGATTCTAACTAATGTCAATTAGTTTGGGGGAAAATCAGGATGGGAAATACTTCATGGCACAAAAGCAAAAAACTGCACGCCGCATTTTATAGTTACACATTGAAACTTTGCACACATGAACATTGAGTTAGTGCGAAACGCTGTGCGCAGGACTATATTACTTCCTTCCATGGTCACCGGATATTCGGGGTCCCAGGAGCCGTACATGACCCCGAAACGTCTACGACCCCGGACACCTGGCGACAGGGAAAAAAACGAAAGAGACCCCTCCACACATAGTTTCGCACTAACCCAATGTGCTTGTGTGCACAGTTTCACGGTCTAACTCATCAAATCAGCATGAGGTTTTCATGTTGAATATTCTCCTATCCATTTCCTTGAACCAGCTTGTACATGTTTTGGGAGATAATGCACCAGGGCTGTTAAGATTATTGTTTTGAGAGATAATGCAACAGGTTTTTTTTTTTCGATTTTATTTTTTGGGAGACATTGCAGCGGAGGGCTACTAAGAAATTCATGTTGTCGCGATGTTCGAGAAACGGCAAAATTGGTGAAAGTTTCCTCTGGCGTTCTTCTATGCATGTGCCGGGCTTTGACGTTTTGCTATTTATTCCGTATTTGGTATATATGATGGTTGTTCTGAACGATGTATTGGAGGAAGGATTGGCATTGATTGGTACGCCATGGTTGAGGCCTATGCGCCGAAGCTTATTTGAATTGGTCAATGAGTTGAACATAAGGTTGGAGTGAGGATTTTGTTCGAAGTTTTACATATAGTTGCTTTTTGCCGGAGTTGTCCGTCCAAAGTCTTAATGACGTGACTGTGATGTAATGTTGATCTTTGCCGAGTGTTTGTCCAAGGATTATGCTACTTCTATGTTGTTGGCTGCTGGAGAATGTGATGATGACGGTTCTCGAGATGATTGTAAAGACTCTTAGTGGAGTTCCATACATATTAAGGAGGACTAGTAACCTGAAATTTGAATATTCGATAGATCCGGGAGTTGAGATGATTTGTGGATGTGAAAGTTGAATGGATTATTGAGATGTTGCCGTTTTACCTGGCGGTATGTGCTCGTAGATCGTATCTCGTACCTAATCGCGGCGGGGTGTTTGTGTGTGTCCTCGGCAGGACACGAATTTCCTAGATCTTCGAGGGGTGACGCAGGTTAATATGATGGATGCGATGATGCCGCGCTAAGCACCGCTTGCCTGCCCATGCCTCTCTCTTCTTTGTGCAGAAACACTCTTGACAAGAGCCCGCGAGCGTAATAACGCAGTACACGTTCGCCGACACCCCAAGCATGGAGTGGAGTATGGAAGATTGGATGCGCCACGACGCTTTGAAGGCAACTGCACTGCCTGTGGTGAGTATAGCCATCGGCGACGCACGTGTTGCACGATCGGCCGATTACAACGGCACGTGCAAGTCGGTGATGGAGGGGGGCTCTCAACGCGAGTGGGAACGACACAATGCCGTACCAGCAGCGGAAGCGACCACGCTGGAGGAGGCAAAGGCAGCGGGGCCACCGACCGTCGGAACTGCTCCCGCTGCTTGCTTTGCGGGGGCAGCAGCCGGAACACCCGCATCTGCAGCGCGAGCAACCGTACTCGCGTAGGGTTCGACCGGAGGGGCCGCTCCACGTGTTTGCAGCTGGAGCGGTAGTAAGGGGAACAGCACCTGCAGCGGGAGGGGCAATCGCTGGTGGTCGTTTCCCCGTTGCCGCGGCCGGGGGGGCGGTCGGGGCGCAGGCATTCGCGGCTGGAGCGACGGTATCGGGTGAGATACCGGCGGCGGCACCAGCGGTGGAAGCGGCGACAGGCATTACCTTGATTTGTTACTGTAGAGAAAAAGAATAATACGGTCGGCGCAGAGGTTCGACTCCATGAACAATCTTCAGAGCATACCGCCCCCCGCTCCACCACTGCGTGAGCTTGATACGCTCGTCGTACGTTTAACCCGCCCTCTTCCTTCCTCACACACTGGCGCCACGACCACCAAGCCACGCAATCGCCAGCAAGCGAGGGATAGACACGCCCCATGCAGTAGTCGTAGAAAAAGCGAAAAACATCGTCCTCTTCTTGCCACTTTTCGTCTTCGCCTACGTTTTTCACTACAGCAGTAGGTTACAAGACTTGCGTGAGCA